TTCTTGTAAATCTTTAGAATGTGGCATTAAATTTTAATAATTATGACAAATTTAACCCTTATCTGGTTCTCACACAATGTTAATCATTAAACACTGTATGTGTTTTACATTGTGTGTTAGTTGTGTGGTGAATTAAGAACCGACAAGCGTGAACTGGCATATAATTTCGAACCCCATCCCGACACGTAACAGTATTAATGCGGTTGGAATGCTTAGAGTAAGAAATATTTCTGTTGTTGGGTTTGTGTGTAGTTTTTCCAAAGCAAAATTGACTCCATTTTATAGCTGAGGAATTCCCAGGCCGTAGCTGAGGGACACAATCAGATACGTGTTGGCAGGAAGCAGAAATATTTTTAAAGTGCAACTTTTATTACATCATCGCCACAATTCTATTTGTAAATCTTTAGAATGTGGCATTAAATTTTAATTATTAAGACAAATTTAACCCTTATCAACAAGCAACGGTGGTTCAGTGGCAGAAAGCTCGCTTGCCGAACTCTTTTATTTTGTACTGAGTTTCGGTAGCTAAATTCCCCACACGCATTTATTGGGGGTAAAATTTTCAGTTAAATGTCTATACCACTCGAAAAAATTAAAGGCAATTTAAAAAACTTTAAGTTTTACTTGCATCAAGGTTTCATAAAGCCACAGTTTTTTTTTATATTCTGTTTTAAATTTGGTGGTTGGAAACACACACAACAACCAAAATGAACGGTAGATTTATTTAATGAGTAAAACTGAACTTGAATTCGTAGTAAATCATACTACGAACATAATTACAATCGAAATACCGAACTGCATTATACTACGAGCATTTTCAAGTGCTAAATCCATTTTGATCGCAAAATCCAAAATAGCGCTAAAACTGACAATTATATGAAACGAATTGTATTCTCAAGCTTGTATTGCTTGTACTATACTTCTATCTATAAATGTCGGATAACTTTTTTTTTAAATATTACAAGTGGCTATTTATGGAAACTTAAAATACTCATGCTCTGTGTTTTTAAAGTGTACATATGTTTACCCAACCATACGTTTTAAATTTTATGATCTTATACATTTGGCAAGGCCAAATAATGTGTTTTGATAACAGAGACGAGACAACAGCACCACATCTCTCTGACAATAATGTATATTTTGCGACTCAACATCCGAGAATACCAAATAGATATACCTACTTACGTTTTATCATGATCTTGAGCAAATGAATGTGTTAGGTAGGTACTACTCGTATCTATAGTATGTGTTGTACATTATAATTTATGATTTGACATTGGAAATTTATATGCTTAGTCATTGTGACTAGTTCTTGAATTGCGCTATGAATGAGATATCTATATCGACAGTGGAAAAGCAAAAGTTGTTTTTTTTTTGCGTCGTTCTGTTTATATTCCGTGAAGATTTGAGTATTTTTTTGGCGCCAAATCAACAAAATTTTTTGAAGATTTTTATTGTTCACAACGCTAAAGCGACATAAATTTTTGTGTGTTTTGAACCAATGGCGCCCTACTATTTGGCGTATGATTTGAAGTTTACTTGACAAAAAAAACATGGCGGGCCGAGGGAGATTCGCTTAAGCAACATCTAACAAAGGTCCAGATCATTGCCTAGCCACACTGGAACTTGATTATACACACGATACAAGTGTTAAAAGGCAGAAGCAGATGTTGGAGGCAGACAATACCACTGTACTGTTTTATTGTTCCATGCAGATTTATATCCCATAGTAGGCGTTAGAAAGATATTGTAACAGTTATTGTGGTACTTAGCTTTAGCAGCAACTAAGTCATACTCAATATGTAAAATATGAAATTTCTAATTATTATAACAGCGATATCTCACGAATGGTGTGCTGTGAGAGAAAAAGTGACTAGACCAGTTTTGTAGAGAATTGTATGATCCTCAACCTTTGTCAGACCTATTTTCACGACAAAACTTACAGTTTTCGAGAAAAATGAAAAAAAAAACATAATTTTGTACGTTTGAGTTGAATATTTTTTTTGGCAGAAGTAGGATCGAAGGGGATTTTTGACATCTCTTATCTAATAGACAAGTCCGTCCGTCCGTCCGTGGTGCTGTTTCAGCAGCCAAACCGTAAGAGATAGATAAAGAGAATGTTTAAGTTATAAGTTAAGAATAGTCTGATAAGACTACAAACCGGATTTGAGTAACGTAGCACTTCCGGTTTTCGAGAAATCAGGTTTTGGTGAACATTTGGTTCACTGGTTTGCTAGTTTTATATATAATGATGTATTTAACGTCTCTGCCAATTTTCAGCTCTATGCGAATTATTCCTAAGTTAAATGTCTATTTGACTGGACTATAAACAAAATCTTCAGCTTTATATTTATATTGTACTAGCTCTGCCCTGCGGTGTTACCTGCGGTTCATTAGGGATATTTTCCCGCAGTAAAACGTAACCTATGTGTTAATCCAGGGTGTCAGCTAACTCCATACCAAATTTTATTAAAAACGCTCCAGCCGTTTAGACGTGAAGAAGTAACAAACACACACACTCACAAACTTTCGTCTTTATAATATAAGGTATGATAGACTTTCAAAATCAGCTTTTATTTATTTATAAAAGTTACTTTAATTTAGACTTGCAACGAATATTTGGTTACTATTCGGTATTCGGCCTATTCGGCTGCTTTTATTATATTCTGCCGAATACCGAATACTTAAATAATATATTTTGTCATTGAGAAATAATTGGTAAAATGAAAAATTAAAATCGATTGATTACGTATATTTTCATATTTTCATTTCTGTTATATAATCATTCATGTCATGATGATGACATAACACGGGTACATAATCATCTCCTGAATTGGAAAAATGGAGGATTCTATGTATTTGAATTATTGTGATAATAAAAATTTAAAAGGGTAAGGTTCTCATTTCTTTTATAATCATTTATTGAGTAGTCATTGGTACATAAAACAGGTACATAATTTAATCATTTTCTGTATTAAACAAGTTAACAGTTTTTAATTTATTCAGTCATATGATGAATGGTAACATAATAGCAATAATTTAAAGATTACGCGCCGTTTTTGGCCATATCTCAAAAGTTGGTCATTTAGCCGCATTTTAGCTTGAGGCGGCAGATTAGAACGAAACAGGAGCGCGAAACAATGAAGTCTGTACAAGTTTTTAGCGCTAAAATCCAGCCGAATAGTAATAATAATAATATTCGGTCAGGGGCCTCGCCGAATATTCGGTATTCGGTATACTGCCGAATAAACTATTCGTTGCAAGTCTACTCTAATTTCATTATTAGGTGCTAAAATTCAGGCGATAAAATCTATCGAAAATGACCTTGTACTGCGTGCGGCCACGTGCAGCGCTCTGTGATCCCCGCGTCATTCTTGCTCGATCGTACTACATTACGTGTTTTGAACGTCGTAGAAAGAATAGCGAGCGTACTTTGTCAGCAATGAATATTTTTGTGGAAATATATATGTGATTCATCGTTTAATTAATATTTCTCGAATTTTTGCTAAAATATCAGTCTAACTAAGAAGTTTTATACTTACCGATGAAAAGAAATTCCTGCTTTAGGTAGATTTGATGATTGACTCCTTACTTTGCAAGTAATTACGGCACACGAAGGCATATTTTAAGTGGTAATCACAATACTCTCTCACTGAGCATTCGCGGGCAACTAAACGACGCGATCGGACGTTACGGTCAAGTTATAAGCATTTGCTCATAATTGTGACGCGCCTGCCCCGCCCACAAGGCCATTCTAACCTCTTTCTGTGTTCTGTGTCTGTGAAATATGTGTACCTACATATATTTAATTGAAGTAAGAGTTATATGAGTTATATTATTTAAACATGTACCGTGTTGTTAAATGCTCTAAACTTAGATTCAGAGTTTTGTCAACAACAATTCAGGGCCATATGATAGATGCATTTTAATTATTCCTGTTAAGGCCTGTGTAGACGACGGACTTTGCCCGCGAAGAACTTTTGTCCCTGTTTCATGAAAAATTTTGTGAAATGCAAGCTATGGAAGCAATATTCTGATATTACGTTGTATTGTAATTTACATGAAGTTTAAGAAAGGGAGAAGACGTTCTAGAAGTAAAGACTGGGTCCTTCCCTCTATATAGCGGATTGTTTTTTTTTTTTTAATGCTTAATAGGCAAAGCGTTTGACCACAATCTCGCCTGATGGAAAGCGATGATGAGGCCTAGGATGATACACGCTTGAAGATACCCGTTCACAGATTATATTGGTCCAGGAAAACAGACTATATTTGTACTGTTGAGATTGTTTATTATGCTTTCAATATAATATTGAATAAAACAATATATTACGATCTTTCTGAAAGATAATTAAATATAGTTTAAGCGTAAAGCGTTGAAAAATATACGAACAACATACTTGAAGTTAATTTTATCACTGAAAACACCTTAAATAGTAGGCTTATAAGAAATGACGCTAAGCCACAATAAAAAATAATATGATTACTGAATTTAAGTTAGTAATTCTCAATTATATGATAAATCCGTTATGATTACTTTATTTGCATTTTTGAGGATGAAATCTATAGACGCTAAAGAATTATTTCAACAAATATTTCGCCATTGTGCTTGCGGTCGTGATACTCTTTTTTGATGTATCGTATTACGGGAGTTTTATTTTTTTTACTTCATTTATTAAAATTTTACAATCAATATATATGTACTTACATCACTATCGAGCACGCAACGCGTACTAAAGTTGTGCGTTGCCACCTCTTGTCACATATTATGTTCTAAATTTTTCGAGGACTCTTGCGTACTTTTGTCTCGTTCGGTCCCTCGGTGTCTGCGGTATTTCGGGGGCCTCTTTGTTCATTGTATTTTTAATCTGTCGTGTGCGTTACTCGATGCAGTTGTAAGCGATCTATTTTAGCGGAAAAAAGTCCCTCGTCTGCGCAAGTTATTATTGTTACAATGCGGAAGGAAATATTATCAAAGATTAATAAATTATATTTGTTTGCAGTCTCATACGAGTGTCTCTACTGTAAACGAAACAGGATTTGGTGAAGAAGAACATGAAATAGAAGACGAAGAAATGATTGGAAAAGGTACTTATGAATTAAATATTTTAAAATTATTATATATTCCATTTTGTTTTTTTTTTACCGAAAGTCATAAACGTGATAAAAACGTTCATACTTCGTCTAGGACAAACATGACTCAAATGGTTCTAAATGGTCTATACAAGCTTTCCTTTAAGCTATGCACCCATTTTCCAATCACCCTTATACAATATCGTAGGATGATTTGATAAATAGAATTTTCGCGACAATCATAGCGATTTCGCGTAAACGCCGATAATCAGACAATGGCGATGACATTGCTCAATGTTACTGTTAATGGATTTTTTTCTGGCATTTCGCCGGCCGCTTCTTCTTTCTTCAGTAACATTGAAAAATGTCATTGCCATTTACTAATTATACGCGATTTATCAAATCTTCCTACAACACATATATTCTTAAAAAGTAAGGTCATTTATCTGTAGGTCACTGAAAACAATTACAAAAATAAAGGTAACAGGAGACGGCTCACAGATACATTTTTGTTTATATTAAACCATCTTACTCAATTTAGATGATTGAATATTCAAACTAAAAATAAATATCGTCTCGTACTTTGATAATGAGCGTGCGTATCATTCCAAAGTAGCATTGAAATTGAAACAGATCACGATGTTAACGTGTAAGTTCTTATCAGGTCGCGTGTCTGGAGCTGTGTACCGGAAATACTTCCGCGCCGGTGGTAACTGGTGGCTGCTCGCGCTGACCATCGTGTCCATCGTCATAGCACAGGTGGTCACCTCCGCTGGAGATCTGTGGCTCACTCATTGGTAAGTCATTGTTTGTGTGTATCATGATTTTAGTTGTAATAACATTGTTTTAGATACTTTCAAAATAGTACTTGCAGACTGCCTTAACACCAGAAACCACACTAGTCACACTACTACTACAATCGACCGCCTTTGATTATTAACTCTCGATTAATAATAGATAAAGCGTAACAGCGCAGATGACGTTGAAAAAAACATCAGCCAAATGCTGGAGTCGTATCCCGTCACTTAGGCTCGTATTACAGAATGACAACTAAGTGTTGATCTTTACTTGAGTACAGTTAGAAAGTTTTAAAATCTTTACTTGAGTACAGTTAGAATGTCACTTTGTATAGCACATAGTGACAATCCTTTCATGTACATCCACGTATATCAATGAAAACGTGTCACCCGCTAGTACATTCGAACTTTGATTCGATTTTCTTAAAAAGTATAAAACTAACAACTATCTAAATAATACTTACAGAAAGTGAGTTTCATAATGATAAAAATGAGTATAATTTTATTCTGAAGTACAGTGGCGGCGCAAGACCTAAACTCAATGTGGATGCAATATACCTTGCCATATTTCGCGAGGCCCTTTGATAGAAAAACCAGCCAAGTGCGAGTCAGACTCGCGGACGAAGGGTTCCGGATCATCATCATCTTTACAACATTAGACACTTTAGTATAATATCGAGCAAAAAACGGCAAAAAAACACTTTTGTTGTATAGGGGCCCCCTTGAATACCTATTCATTTTATTCTGTTTTTAGTATTTGTTGTTATAACGGCAGCAACAGATATATATCTTCTGTGAAAATTACAGCCTATTTAAAATTAAATATTTAGTCTTGTATTTGTTGTAATAGTTTTTTTTTGAGAAAGTTGTGATTAATTTATTGGATTGTAAAGAGGACGTGTTCCGATTAAGTATGGAATAAAATATCCGTCAAACAGCCCCCATCCTTTTTGTATAAAAAAAACCCTTGCGGCGTGTACTTTAAGATTATCCATACTGCAGGACGAGTGTGTAAACATGATACTCCTCATGCCACTGCAAATGTCACTCGCGCTGCCCGGAGCTCCCTATAACAGGGATTTTTTGTGCGGAAGTCAAAGGACTGGTAACGCGAGCGGTAGTGAGTGCGTTACATTCTGCTCCGTTATTTAAATAGGTACTATGGTGTTCTACCCAGAATGGATAGAACCTGGGAACGTAGTAATTAATTAAAAGATACTGCTAGAGATAAGTTATTTATTTTATATTATCATTCAGGCGAATATAAAGAATTTTTATCTAAATACGAGAGGTTTTCTTGGTGCCTGAAGATCTAATAATGTAAGGAACCTTCTATCAAAAGACAGACGATTCCTTATTTCAAATCTTAAAATCATGACATTAACTTTTTAATATAACTGCCAACCGTAGGCATTGCAAAAGCAAAGAGTTTACCTAAACAAGGAGGTTGTAACGTCACGGACGTTACATCCCTCCGGCACCTCTAAAAAAAAATTGTTTTGTCATACCAGATGACCGAACAAAATTTTTTTTCCTACCTACTACATCGAGAGGGTTCGACAGTCCTATCTAAAATCCCTACCTGCTTAAGGACATAAATACAACTGGGAGGTGGCTTTTACTACAGACTAGCCCTCACAATAAGTTTGCAAAACTTGCAATAAAAAAACTTTACGGGAAAAGAACCCTAACTGTTTGCAAAGTTTTATTGCAAAGACTTTACGGGAGCAAAACCTTAACAAAATCCCTCGTACATCTCTCCCCTAACCTTAACTTTACTTTACATCGACATCAGTCGGCAAAAACAAAAAAACAAAGCTAACCCTAGCTATTCCTTAAATTACCCAAGCAATTTTTATTTTATCCCATCTATCAGCAAAACTTTACCCTATCCCATTTATTAAACCATTAAATATCAAGAAAATTTATATTTTGAAACTTCATTACTTCCCATACTAAGTAGATGTACGAAACGAAATTCAAACTATTTCCTAAGATTCGTAAACATTAACTGGATTTGAGCAAAACCTAAAAGAATTTATAATTAATGTTTACTTTCGTACATCTTTAATAAAGATACAGACGTGGTCCACCACTTTATTGTCTTGTACTTTATTAGACACCCATGATGCGCAAACGTAATAGAAATTTTGGGTAAGGACATCTAGCATCAAACAAGATTAAACCCAATTCCCATGGAATACTAAGGGTTCCCTACCCCCAAGTCAAACTACTACAAGTGACGATTTTGACGAACGCGACGCGACCAAATTGAAACGAAAACGACGCGAATTCGTAGAGGGTGTCTCCATCATCTTCAGGGTGGATCATCGTCAGTATCGCTGACGTCTGCATGAGCGCCAGCCTGCTCTCTCTCGGGAAGTCCGCATCATGTGGTAGTACATAAAACAATCAAGAAAATATTAGTAAAATTCTTTACACCATTTTTCTTCAGTCGGGTAAGTTAATATTCAAGAAAACATTAAGATTATGATAAGTCTTTATACCATCTTTTCATAGTTGGGTAAATTTTCAAAATATAACATTATTATTCATTGATTTATTTCTTAACCTTACAGGGAATCGAACCCGTTTCCTTTTTTATAACAAGGGAATTTTCTTTATGGACCTATATTATCCTATTATACATTATTAACTATATATATACTATCCTAATGCTGGATTAATCCTACCAATGATCATATTCAAAGTCAATTGAATAATTCCAAGTTGAACAGAGAATCGAACCTGTTACCTAGCATTCTTATGGTTATTACCATATCAATAATCCACCTACTCAACAAATTACACTAAAGCTAACAATTAAAAGAAATGAAAATACTTTAATGAAACTACCTATTGATCTGTGATAAACAAAATGTGTAAAAGTTCCTTATAATATGTGTATTGAAAAAAATTTCTAATAAAATGACAAAGTTATATTTAATATGCTTTTGAAATAAAATTCTAAAATAATTATTGTATTGAACCTTATTTACATACCACCATTGCTTTAAAACATTCATATAAACAATAAACTGAAATAAAATCTCATTAGTAACACAATATTATAATACTATCAACCTACTCGGCATAATATAAATTTTCATCATACACCGAATTATCACTATTCCTTTCATTATTCTTTTGTATATATTGTCTTTTAAACTTGCACTTAATATGTTTGATTATTAATTGTTCATTATAAAAGTCTACTATCGCATTATTTCGAAGTAAGAAATCCTGTCCTAAGATGAGGTTATGCCTAATATTCTCTACCACAAGAAAATCGTGAATGAATAACGCATTGTCTATCAATAATTTTAGGTTGACTTTCCCTATAACTGATAATTCTTTACCATCGACGGCTTTCAACTTCGTATCGCTTTCATCAATTCGTTGATGAATTCTATTAACTGTGTCCTTCGACACCACAGACACTGCAGCACCACTATCAATGAGCCCTACAAACTCCTTATCACGACACGTTATATTAATTAATGGTTTGGACTCACTTGTATATTGATTGCAGTTTTGTAACGGCTGTGAATGTTGAACTTATTCATCAGCCATCGTCATTAAATTTTCTTCATAAAAAATTTTCTTTGGATGCTTCTTCTTTAGTTTTTTCTTTTTGTTCATATTGCTGGAACAAAAAGTGCGGGGAATCAAATGTTCGGGAGGGACAATGGGATGAGAAGGGACACTTTGGGAGGAAATAACGTTGATTTCCTTCTCCGGTTCTTCTTCATTCCTCGTTATGCATGAAATTTTCGACGTTTCACAATGAGCAAACGATGGTTGGATCGGCAGATTCCAATTAACTTCGACGCTTTCGTCCTCAAAAATGTCCTGCGCTTGTCGTAAAACTTCCTTTAAATGCACTTTATTTGTATATAATAGAAATGCGAAAAGATTTTTTGTACTTAAATTCGCATTTTTCAAGAACTGTCTAATGAAGCATTTGTCATCGATGACAGCTCCCGCTTTTGTGGCCAGCTCATCTAATACATAAAAATAGTTCAATGGCTCTTCTGTCAAGCCTTGTCTTCGTGAGAAAATTTTTTCCAACGCATTTATCGATGCTGGAAATTCATCACAAATCTTCTTTTCTAGAATCTGAAAATTCCCACAAGACTCATTAATTTTTTTATAGAACAACAATGCAGGTCCACTTAAATATGCCGACAACACAACTCTTTTTGTAACATCGTTGAAATTATTGATGGCGGCGATGATATTAAATTGACGAAAGAAATCGGTTACATCACCTTTTCCGTCGAATGTGGTCCTGGTCTCCATCTTTTTAAAACTATTTCTTTCTTGATTTAAAAATATTCTTCACTCGCGGTACTAGAATCAACGCGGCGCGTCCACCATATGGTGTTCTACCCAGAATGGATAGAACCTGGGGACGTAGTTATTAATTAAAAGATACTGGTAGAGATAAGTTATTTATTTTATATTATCATTCAGGCGAATATAAAGAATTTTTATCTAAATATGAGAGGTTTTCTTGGTGCCTGAAGATCTAATAATGAAAGGAACCTTCTATCAAAAGACAGACGATTCCTTATTTCAAATCTTAAAATCATGACATAAACTTTTTAATATAACTGCCAACCGTAGGCATTGCAAAAGCAAAGAGTTTACCTAAACAAGGAGGTTGTAACGTCACGGACGTTACAGTACCTACATAAAATGCATTCAAATAATCAAAACTACTATTACGTTAGATAGATAGCATCCACCATCTTCTACGACGAACTTTCTTTCTTTATTTTATGTCTTTGGTATCTTTTAAGTATCGAATATAGTTATGTATGTATTCATGGGCGTACCCAGCTTCTGGCCTAGGGGGGGGGGGGCAAGTCAGATTATTTAGGTCTGATCGTCCGCGGCTGTTTTGTCATACACACTACATAAACACACCTACATGAAACATTACGTATATCAAGAGTAGTGTGTAGGGCAAACAGCAGCAAATGATCCTACTTTATAGGTAGTTAAATAAATAAAAGTAAATTTGACTATGCATGCATTTTTATTTTATTTAAATCGCTTCTATTTTAAAAGTAATTTTCTAGGATCTTCTGCAAAACGGTTTATAAAGTCTTCCGTGAAAGAATCGCCCATACTGTTAACAAGTATTTCATGTACACTGAGCAAGGAAAGTCCATTTAACCTGTCTTCAATCATTGTTGATCTCAGCCACGTTTTCACACGTCTGAGTGTACTGAATGATCTTTCAATTGTAGCCGTGGCATAATAAGGCATTGCCAGTAAAATTTCTAGGGCTGTTTTCACATGCGGATAAAAACATTCCGATTGTTGGATTAATTCTGTTATCTCTAAATCTTCGAAGTCCTCCTGCTTGTTAACCCAAAAAGTGCGCCATAGTTCAGCCTCAGATGTGATTCCTTCTTTTTCATAAAATTTGGATACTTCGTCCATATATTTTCTTAATTCTGGAGCTGTAATTTTTATTATTTGAGCAGGGTGTAACAATGAAAGAGCAAACGCTGGTGAATGTTCCTTATCGAATCTCGCCTCTAATGAGGATGATAGTGAATCCAAATAGGTACGTACAATGATCGACGAAAATATTCGCTTAACGAACCAGCTGGATGATTTGCCCTATATTGTTGGCAGCTTGCTGTCCTTGGAAGACGCAGCTCAAGATTCAAGACCTTAGCAATTTCATTAGCTGATTTCAATAATTTTTCAGTGCCTTCCTCGGCAGAAAGCCTATGCTCCGCAATTGCTGTTTTAATGGTTTGAATATGCTCTGCACACTTAATTACGTCTAAGGTTTTAGACTGCAATGTGTTTGCGACGGGTTGCAGCAGCGAATTGTATTTGTCTATAATACATAAAGACAATATGAATGTGGTTTGTCCAACTGCGGATAACAATTGGAAAGCTAATTTTCTTGTCCCAGAATTACCTTCCTATGAAAGCTTTTCCAAACTATCCACAATTTCCACAAAATAGTTTTTAAACATCGAAATACTTTTATATTTATGCGACCAACTTGTTTCACACAGCAATGGAATTTTCGGTGCATATTTTTGACGCAAAACAGATTCCCTGAAAAAATTTATAATATCTTTAACAGTCCCGATGCAGTTTCGGATCTCAGGAACATTATTTAGATCGTTTACTACCAGGTTTAGCTTGTGGCAGGCGCAGTGAAAATATAAACCCTTTTTAAACGTTTCTCTGAATATTTTTTGGACACCGCCATCTTTTCCCGCCATCGTAGCACATCCATCGTAGCCCTGTCTCACGCATTTGTTAACATCAATGTTTAAGGAATTGATGAATCTATTAATTTCAGTAGCTATTGTTTGTGCATCCATTTTTTGTAACTCGACAAAACCAATAAATTCTTCCTTAATTTTTTTCCTTTTGATCGTAATATCTAAGATCTGTCGATAATTGCTCCTTCCCTGCAATATCAGCTGTTTCATCAGCTAAAATGCTGTAGGCACTCGCAGCCTTAACATCATCGACCAATTTTTCTCTAATTAGAAGTCCACATATATTTAAAATCTCATTGAATTATTATTTTTTTATCACGTCACCTACGTTTGATTTGGCTCCTTCAAAACAATAACATTTCAAATAAAATAAATGTTAGGCGCTCGCAACTTCCGACCGAAAATTACCGCATCTAGCCGAGCGTTTGAACGCTCGGCAGCAGCCCCCCCCCCCCCCCCCCTGCCCCCACCTGCGTACGCCCATGTATGTATTAGCAATAAGACGAGCGGACGATGTAATTATTTCGAGGTCTGGCAGTAGTAGTGACATAAGGCAGTAAGCAAATATCATTTTTCTCAACTCTGCTGCAGCGGTAGCAGAGTCGAGAAAAGTCGTTAATGGAATTATTGCCGGCAGCGGCAGGCAAATGTAAATGTAGCACAATATAACTAGTGCAGTAGTAATGTTATATTTTTTATTCCATTATTACTATAATGGAATGCCTATCTTCCTTTTTCAGAAGTAACTAGCTTATATTTAAACATATATATTTTAGTTTTTTTTAAGCATTTAACTCCTAGATATTTAAATCTAAAGAAAAGTTTTTAATAGAAAAAAATCCACGCGGACCAGGCAGCAGACGGCACTCTTTTTCTATTAAAAACTTTTCTTTAGATTCATATATATTTTATTTAAATAGGATGAACCAGGTTGAGGCTTATAATAAACCTGGAGCAGTAGAAGCGCGAGAGGACTTGAACTCGACCCAATTCGACAATATAACTGACGCTATAACAACCACTGTTATGCCGGAAACGACGACTACAAATGTAACAGACACCGTGATAGGTACAATACTGAAAACGGCAAAGACAATACAGGAGTTTGCACCATTTGCTGAAGACAATGATAATTCATTCTACGTTTACATATGGACTGTTGCGATCGTTGGATGCATTATTCTTACTACATGGAGGTAATATTTTTTATTTATATGAACTCTTATATAACCTTCCGACTCAGGTAGATTGGTTTAATACTCTTTATCTACACCCATGCTTTAAAACCGCTATTAAAGATTCTGAAACAGTTAGTTTATTGCCAACATTAAAACATTAAAGTCATAATTTAAAAAAACATTATAACACCCAAACGAGTGTTATAATGTTTTTTTTTAATAAATTTCATAGTAACACTCCTTCGCTTTTAAACCCCTTCTGCGTCAGGGGCTTGCTCATCAGATATCCACAATTTTCCCTTCTGGATGCGTGGTATTATGAATTACAAAAAAGAACATTGTCATTCACGCGCGCTTCACACTACCACAGCGCCGAAACTTACCAAAATCCTTTATTCAAAGTCTTGTATGCAACTGCCTCATTATACAACAGATGCATAAATAACTATAACATGCACAAAAACAATAATGATACTCTATCACTTTTACTTAAGCAATTAGTGTTATCATGAAGTTACAATACTAATCCTATCCTACTGTTTCGTTAAAACACAAATAATAATAATATGGAAGTTTTGTGTGTTTGTTCACACAATAGGGTATTTGACAAGTTTAAGAAAACGATCTTGCGTTATTAACTAATGTTTACGTAGTCCATAAAAAGTGTAATTCATCATTCTGCTGAGTATTTCAGTAAAAAAACAACTAAATCAGAAATCTTTAAGTTCCCGCTAAAACCTTTTTCTGGTCATTATGGCGTCTGACTAGCATTTGACGTCACACGACTGTCATTATAACGTCAAATGATACAATTTAATGTCACTTTGACCGGAAGTTTCTAGCGTGTGACGTTGTAATCTAGATTCATAATATGATTTCATAATTATTAATTCAGAGCGCACGAAATTGCATACATTTTTACTACTATCCTCACACAATTTGATTATTTCAGATTAGGAATTTGTCAGACTGTGTGTGGATCGCCAATCCCAGACGTTTCCGGTCGCGTGACTTGTTTTCTCAGAATAGTAAAATCGCTGCATATTGTATATATTAAATACAGATGCCAACAATTGGTACTCTATTTTTTAACTGTCATATACCCTATTATGTAAAAACACCCGAACGGATTTGGATGCATTTTAGAACACGGATAAAGTTTATCAGTATACACTCATTGGATGAAATCATTACATATTCACATTAAAAGATGGGTAACTATTATTATATCTAGTAGTATTGATCTACAGCTAGATTTTCTGGAATTCTTGTTGTAAAGATTTCTTAAGGATTATAGAATTCTAAATTTGTGAGTTTGTATGTTGGTTTAGTCACGTTGAAAGAATATCGGTAACTATAAATGACAATATAACACATGACAACCTATACTAATACTATAAAGAGGTAATGTTTGAAAGGTTGTAGGGGTAATCTCTGGATCTACCGAACCCATTTTGAAAATTCTCTTTCCAATTAAAAGTCACGTTATATGCGAGTGCCATAGGCTGTATGTACTCGAATACTAGAACAAAAATTATAGTCTACACCAAAGCGAAACGAGGGCGGGCCACCAGTCATAAATAATACCCCAAATTAACATATTTTATAAAAAGTTCCCCAGGCAGATAGTTCTAATGTCAATAGTAGTTTTTATAAGTTTATTGTGCCATTATAGCTATCAGGGTAGGCAAATTGGTATGAATGTAATGCCGGCACTTTCTTTGGCTATTCGTATTTGCTATTTGTTTGACTTTTCACTTCTATAAAGCGTGATGAGGACAGACTGTTGTCAAGTTTAAAAATAGCAAATACGAATAGCTAAGCGCCGGTATAAGAAATATTGATTTATTATGGTTAAACATTGACATTAATACCTACATCCTATTTTAGGTCGATCCTTTTCTTATGGGTGTGCATGCGCAGCTCTATAAAGCTACACAATAAAATGTTCAGCAACATACTCGGCGCCACTATGAGGTTCTTCGATACCAACGCCTCCGGTCGAATCCTGAATAGATTCTCAAAGGACATGGGTGTAGTTGACGAAATTCTACCAAGAATGTATTTGGACAGTATTCAAGTAAGTAAAATTTGTTTCACTGATCCATGCTTGATAATATGAAGGTAACCATCAGTAACCACTTTTTACAAGAAAATAATGAAATAACGCTATTGTTTCGTAGTTGTTCTAAAGGTTAAGAACTCGCGAAGTGGATATTCCCCGCACCCGGGCGGCCGCGGAACTTTTTTATTTCTCAATTACACGATACCGCAGTTTTCTGCGACCCCGCACGCTCGTAGACTAAACAAAAAAAAATTGGACGAAGCTCACCGCGGGTGCCACAAACAACCGCGCACTCAGCGTCAGGGCATAAATTACGTCGTGAAAGGACATGGTAACATTTTGTATAAGCGACTGCCCTAGCAACGTATAAATATTGTACTTAGTAATATTTAATGTTGAATGGCTGAAAATGTATAAATTCTATTAAAAATGTCTTGGGAGCTTTTGATAAAGTTACAATACTGAAAATTATGGAAACTCCCACTACGTCATTACTAGCTACATTTGATAAAAGATATTGCCAATTATTGACAGAGCCATCAATTTCGCATTTTCATAGAAACATACCTCCCAATTCTCTGATTTACACTTTTCAAAAAGTATTTTTGAAGAAAAAATAAATACAAATAATTTGTTGTCGTCGACCAGACAGGAAATCTGTGAAGTTTGCTTTTGTTCATTTGCAAAAATCAAAGAATAAATTTTCTTACAGCCTTGTCTCAAGTCTGATCAGAAAAATAAAATCTAAATCCTTATTAACCTTCAGTAATTTTTTATAATAAAAAAATTGGGCCAAGTATTTCATAATTCTTAGAAGTTTAAAATTATTCTTGTTTATTTCGATATACTTACATAAATATTTTTGTGTAGATCTATTATTCATTTATTTTTGTGAAACGAAACAAATTTTCATTTAGGAACAGACATGAAGTCAATTTTTAAAATTTTAAATATTTGATTATTTCACGAAGGTTTTGTGAGAATAATAAAAACATAATAATCTATAGATAATTATTTAAATCTTGTGGGCGAAATAATTTTACATGTTAAGGGCAGTGTCTTAGCCATATAATTTGCAATTGCATTTTCTTACAATTTCACATTTCACGCTAGTTGCATTCCCGCAGCCTAACCGCGGCAGGCGCGGGTGAAAATAGCTCTGTGAGTTCTTAGGCATAGTCTCCACGGGCTAGAGAGGTCATGGTAAATTAAACATATTATGAACAATTTATGCAACACTCGCTATTTTTGACCCCAAAAACTGGCAAAAGCAACTCCACAACATTAAACAAACGGTAACTACATTTTACGATATGTCGTTACAGTGTCAATAAAAGTTATCAAGAATGGCGTGTTTTATGAGTACAAATATTACAAATGATTAAATTATATACTATTTACCTACTTAATAAAATGGTTTGTTCATTGTTTACGTACATACAATGATGATCATGATATGTTACAATGTACAGTCAACCACTTACATAATTTTAGAAATGAAATGTAATATATTTCCGTATGCCTTGGTTATACAGTGAGTAAGGTTATATATAATCTAGCAATTCATGGGGTATTTCAGCGTCGGTTTGATCAAACTCGTTATAATAGTTATCTTATAATCCACAGTGCGTCTTCGTCTTTGAGGTCCAATTGATTTCCCATACAAATTGCCACCGCCATTTTCACCCCGTTAAAGTATGAATCAAAATTGGGAAAAAAAACTATACTCTCTCCTTTTCCGAGACTCAACTATATCTATACCAAAGGAGATTGCTCAGCTTTCATACATGTTTGGCCTAAAGACCAATAATCATGAAAAATTGTTTCCTAGATTCGAAATTATATATAAATTACTGTAGAAACGAATATTATTGACGGACACCCCTGAGAACTTCTATAAACCATATACAGTGAACATATTAAAATAATAAAAAACAAATAAGTTATATAGTAAACTAGAGAAATCAAGCCAAGTACCGAAATTATGGATTAGATTCAGGTATATAGAGCATGAAGATTAACAGATAGTTGCCTATTTTTAAAGTTAATGCATAAGAGTAACTTATAAAATCAGATGTCATCTATGCATTTCCGGTTATAATAAGGTACTCAGTGACAGAAACTGTGTGATGATTGTGAATGAGCCACAGATTAGAGAGAATTTTTAAACTCTCGTTTACCAAAGAAAGCTAAGAAATTTGGGTTATATAGCCATATATTCAGTAGCTTCATTATTTTTGTTATGTTTTTAATATAACCATATTTTAGTTTTTTAGTGTATCACACCTTATAATTTTATTTATTTATTAATTTATAGTCAGGCAACGTAGGCCCATAGATAGATACCTTAAAGTCTAACATAATATATACAGATTATAATGTGTTTATGGAGGTGTTTGGCGAAAAATGTATGGCAATAGACTTTATGATGTCGCCTACCATCTATAATAATTGTCTGAGCACATTTGCATGAAGTGAAAATGATAATATAGTTGTGGATATTAATACCATAGTGTAATAAAAAAAAAAAATATTTTATCGATCTTTACAAAATAGATTTGTTTTTAGTTATATAAACAATTTCGATCAGTCTTTGGCTGAATGTTACTACACCCATAGCCATAAATATGATTCGTATGTTTTCCAAACCGGTAAAATTGAAAGTCCTTTTTAAAGTAAATATATTATACAAAGGTGTCCGTTGAAATCTAATGACTGTAAATTAAATTATAAATTACGCCAAGAATTACCGTGTATGTCAATATTTTTTGTGCGTTTGGGCCAAATTGAGCAATCTCCTTTCATGTAAATCGGTTCTGCTGTTTAAGCATGAAGAGTTAAAAGACAGACAGACACACTTTCGCATTTATAATATTAGTATGGATTTGAAGTGAAAGTGTGAAGATCTGTTTTTCCCACAGACTACTAAGTTCGTTGGAGTCCAATGAGAAATACGTCAATACTTCTTGATATCATAAATTGGCATTGGATGTGTCATGAGTTCTGCCAACGCGTATTTAATCTGATTTCGTATTGTCCAATGTGCCGTTGGAATGTGTCAGTGCACTACGCTACATGTAAAGGCTTTCATGATGGCCACTTAACATCACGTGGTCCATATGCTTGATTGCCACCTTTTTGTACATAAAAACCCTACACAAAGCATCAAATACCATGCGAAGGCTAGATAGATAAATACACTACAATTATGTTATATCCACGCATACGAAGCTGGGACGAGCCACTAGTGTTATTCTACTAATAATAATCTAAATTAATATTGTAAATGTGAAAGTTTGTTACTTATCACACAAAGACCTCCTAACGGATTTGGATGAAATTTAGTAAAGCAGACGAAGTCGCAGGCCGCCGCTAGTATTGCGCGGACAGTCGGCAACGGTTGCCGCGACTACACCCGCACTGCCGGCGTGCATTAGAGGGACTGGGGTCCTCAGAATGTACGCCGGGTAACCGGTGCAGGAGTATTGTCTGGTTTATAGTGGCCCTGTTCAGGGCGTTAGGTTAGGCCTTCTCATTTCACCCGGCCCAAGGGCAGGCTGTAATGAGTAGAGAGGAGTCCCACATACCTTCTTCTCGCTTTCCCGGTGGTCGAAGAATGCGTAATGCATTTCCCAGACAAAAAAAGGCCGCTGCTAGTATAAACTATTTACGGCCACTCTCGGAGACATCAAATAACTATAATGTCATTTAAGTCTCGTGTTGCCGTAGTCTATGTTGTTATCACATATAAGTGACAGCACTAACAATAATCAAAATTAAAAGTTAATTGGAGTTTTTTAATGCGACCGTTATATTTAGAAATTATTAGCTCGCCTATTTGGTTTTTTGTCCTATTATAAAAATGATTTCTTTTTTTTTTAGATATGCTTTGTGATGTTGGGTATATTGATTATGGTGGCTATCGTGAACCCGTTAATGTTGGTGACAACTGGTTTTTGTGCTATTATCATGTACTTCTGGACTGTCATCTACCTCTCAACGGCACAATCTATTAAAAGGTATGTATCTAGAAATATTACACAAGTTGTCCTGTTACAGACTCGCGCAGTAAGTACTTTGTAGCCTAAATTGATATAAAGTAACGAAAAAATTGTAATAAATTGTACCTAATTATAAAAAAGTTATTTGCCTTTTGAAATAAATATTTAACCCTAATAATAATGCTTGTATATAATAGGGCATATGCATGTAATTCAAAAAGCCTCATTTTATTTTTATATAAACTATTACTTTTGAGTTGTTTCGGCCATTAAAATTTGTTAATAAAAATTCTTTTCGAGCAAGAAATTTAATGATAAAAATTTCAAGTGCAAAAAACTTGTGGGAAATTTGAAACTCGACGAGAGCGGTTGTGACGTAAAAATATATAAGTATAACAACAACCAAACATGATGTTAACAGGATATGCCAATGTTAACGAGATTATAAGTGAGAGTGCATAGATGTCAAAGTTGCGTTCCACCTAGACACCGAGTGCAACTTTTCCCTATGACATTTGAAGAAGAACGTCCCTTAGACAAAAAACCCAGACACCCGACAGAATCGACCGCTATCTCAGCTGTTTTGTTATTTTTCCAATAGTCAAATTTTTATTTTTTATATTCAAAATCAATTTTAATACCAAAATATTGCCTTATGTCAAATTAAGAACTGTTCATCATTTCATTTACGAATTTTGTAGATAAATATGTATTTTGTCTTGCGTGAAACATGTACAAAAACATAAGGCAATAGTTTATTGTTATCAATAAAAAAAAAATATATCGTCTCGTTTCTGTCGAGTGGTCCTTAATCACAAATGACCTTTCTTCATTTTACCAAAAATGTAGGAAACATAATGTCTATTTGTTTGACGTAGGTTACATCTTCCATTCCCGGTGAAGGTATGGAACGCAGAGTTTTTTAGACACTATACTATTTTTCGAGGTTTTTTTATACTGTATAAAGGGAATGTGAACTACATAATAAAAAAAGATCATGCATATTCCCTATTGCTATCGGGCTTACATAAAAAAATATAATATAATGTAAATATGTAATTGTAGGTGAGTAATACCTAAAATTGTAATCAGGCAATAAAAAAATACTACATATCATACTATATTGCTTTTCATAATTCAGATAAATATTTGATTTGATTTCTGTTATCTGACTAGTCATTGGCGAGACGCCGACAGTAAAATTTATTACGACGTTATCATATATCAATCAATTAATTGACAGTCTCACAACCAACATAGTGCCACAATTACTTATCATACTTCTTTAAGGGGGCTTGCACTTAGGATATGTTTTCTTTAAAATACTTACGGAACTCACATTTTTTTGCCAATTCTTTGAGCGACAGAAATTGCTAAAAAGTCTTTATCTTTCCGTGACAAGTCTCACAAAATCTCGTGTTATTGAAGGTCACAAAAAATAAAAATAGTTTCCAGCTAATTATCTCTCATTCCGAAGGAGAAACATTTCTAGGATTCTGTACCTCAAAAAAAAACGGAACCCCTATAGGATCACTTTGTTTTCTGTCTGTTAAGGCCCTTTATCTCGGGAACGCGTGGAGATATCGAGTTGAAGTTTCAACCATATAAGTACTAAAATGTACGGTCCCTTGGAACTGTGAAAAAATCAAAAGTAAACATTGGTGAATGATAATATTATATATAGTTACTAGCTGACCCAGCGAACTTCGTACCGCCATAAAAAAAATTAATGAAAAAAACATTGTCCAGCGGACAAAATTGTGAATCTAAACCATTCTCAGATCCCCTTGAACACACACAAAAAATTTCATCAAAATCGGTCCAGTCGTTTAAGAGAAGTTCAGTGACATACACACTCACAGAAGAATTATATGTATAAAGATTATATTATAATAACTTATCAATAATAATTTAATAATCTTTTTAATTTAATAAAAATATAATCTAATTTAATTCTCCTAATAATAAATTAATCACGTCACGTCGATGTCGTTTCACGTTACGCGCTTTCTAGGCAGAACTGAAAACCAGTGCTTTGCTCTTAGAGCAAAGGTATCGCTGAGTTTTTGCCTTTTTCTGTCGTTGCGACACACAGTTACATACCTAGTAATTAATTGTTCTATTTTTTTACTTGAATTTGTGTGCTGTACTGATGGGAATAAATGATTTATCTATCTAAAAAAAGTTACGGGCATTTGTATGTCCGGCTGTCAAAACTATTCATGTCCTAGAACGCAAGGAGGTATCGTGTAAAAAAAATTAACCTCAGATTTACAGTCCCCAAAAGCTGTGAAAAAAATTTTACTTCTAAGGTAACGTACAAAAGCGGTACCGCTGTTTATGTTGCGTACCTATAAATTTTCTCGGCGAGTCCGACTCGCACTTGTCCGGTTTTTTTTATAAGTGACTGGACAATCAGCATAAAAGAGTTTTTATTTGTTTAGGGTTGAAGGCACGTCCCGCAGTCCTGTATTCTCCCACGTGTCGGCCAGTATAGCGGGCCTGGTGTCGGTTCGAGCGTACGGTGCACAAGAAATACTTGCCAAACAATTTGACGATAAACAAGACGTTCACACCGCTGCTTGGTGAGTAACTAACAACCTCCGTGGCCGAGTGGTTTGTACGCCGAATTTTATGGTGTCGCTGACTCGAGAGGTCCCGGGTTCGAGTCCCGGTGGGGGCAGATGTTTGTGTGATGAATACGAGCATTTGTACTCCATTCATGGACGTTTAATAGGTATTTCTATATAAATATACTTATATATGTATCAGTATATGTATACTATCCGTTCCCATAACACATGTGTTACAATGCTTACTTTGGGGCTAGGCTAATTGGTGTGAGTGTTGGAAATATTTATTTATTTTAGTACAAAAAGTAGATTACATAATTATACTCCATCGACCTAAGTCCTGGCAGTGGATTTTTGCATTAAGAATCACGGCTTATTGCTACGTAATTGAGCATCACAATGTCATAGCGTAATTACATTTGGTCGTTCGCCTATATACGGGTGCACGAAAGACTTTTCTCGAATTCGGCCACCCGAAACAATAATTACATTGTTTTCGGGTACTGGAACACGGGGAAATAACCCTGCACCCGCGTCCTTGTTCGAACGAAACGAATACGGGCGTACTCGACTCTGTTCATTTACACTTAGTTTTATTTATTTATTTATTCTTTATGCACAAATGTACAATGGCGGACTTAATGCCGTAGGCATTCTCTACCAGTCAACCATAGGATGTTGTGGAGATTATTAGTGGTAGGGTGCACAACTGAAGTGGAAATCACCTGGAAAGAAAGTTTATAAAAATAATAATATATAAACATACACATACATAAGTTAATATATTTAAATAAATACACAAATACATACATACTTCCAAAATAAATACAAAATAATGACGACAAACCACTCAATGAAACGCCTGTTCTAATAAAAAGCTTCGCAATTTGGTTTTAAAGGTATATTTACTGGGGGACATTCTGATATCTAGCGGGAGATCATTCCACAAAAGTATCGTTTTTACGAAGAAGGAAGAGTGAATAATATCGGAGCAGTGTGGTGGAACGATAAGTAAACGATTAGAAGAAGATCGAAGATTTTTACTATGAGAGGTACATAAGTACTGAAATTGAGAAGTAAGGGGGAGCATTTGGAGAATCTAGCAAAGAGAACAGGGTGGTCAGAGCCCGCATAGTTCTGCGCTGCCTAATGGGCATCCATTTTAAGAGAGATCGGAGAGATTAGTTGTTTGTTCGAATTCCATAGGCACTCGTATTCGGGCTAACGACCAAGTGTAATCGCGCCATCAGACTGATTTGCCAAAAATCTGCATAGTTTTTATGAACTGCTTCATAAGTGAAAACTCTTCTATTATATATACTTTTTCTTACTTATATCATCGAGGACACTTAACATAAATATAATTTATTAATAATGTTTCTTTCAGGTACTTGACTCTGATCTCGAATACATCTTTCTCGATTTGGTTGAATCTCATATGCAATGTGTATGTGATTGTAGTTTCATACACATTTTTATTTATGGATGACGGTGAGTTTATTACCTTATATTTAACAGTATTTAAAAATTGGCTTGAACAATGTGATAATAATTGAATGATGAATTCCGTTTATGGAATTCTACTATCTGCTTAGAAAAGAAAACATAGATGTTTACTTTACTAATTATAGGTGTTGGTAGTAGTCTGTTTTCTAGGTATTCGCGACCAAAATTGAATATGGAATTCAAGCATATACTAACAAAACTAAAATATGAATATTGATTACAAACCAATAAATTAATGTACCCACATAGTTCAAACCAATAAATTAATGTACCCAGACCCGTCTTTCCATTGGGCAAGTGCCCAGGGCCCCGCGATCGATAGGGGCCCACCTCAGATCACAAATATAAAGTCCCTCGTTCCTGTTAGATCATTAAACGGAGGTCATAGGGGCCCCATTATCCTAATATGCCCAGGGCCTCCAATAAGTCAAAGACGGCACTGAATGTAACCACATAGTTACTTTAATTCTAATTATATTTTTTAACACATGCTAGCTTTCCACGCACTTGCAAGCGGGCACCACTGCTAGTACCTATCAGTGTATTACTTTTCTAGCGCATTCCTTTTGCTCCTTGAATTTGGTATAGGCGAAGTTATGTCATCGATAAATAATGGTCGGCAGGTAAAACACGATCGGGCAACGTGGGTTTGGCCCTCAGTCAGGCTTTGATTCTCGTCAACATGGTCGGCTATGGCGTGAAACAGGCCACAGAAGTGATATCGCAGATGACCAGCGTAGAGCGCGTGATTCAGTTCACGTCGTTGCCTCAAGAGCAACATGACGGACCGTCACCGCCTAAAGGATGGCCGGAGCGCGCCAAACTCGTGTTCGAGGACCTGAAGCTGCGATACGACGCCGACTCGGAACCAGTGCTGAAGGACCTGAACATCGTCATCGAAAGTGGTTGGAAGGTAAGTTTTATTTAAAAAGTATAATTTATTACATGGCAAAATTTTAAAAAACATATCTATGATTGTTACTCAATCACGCAAAAACTACTGAACGGATTTGCATGACATTTGATACGCAAATTACTTTTTTGAGACAAAGGCATACTTTTTATCCCGGAAAATGGCAGGTTCCTTTGGGATTCGGAAAAAACTCAAGTTAACGCGAACGAAGTCGCGGGTGGCCCCTAGTGTAATTTATAAGGAAAAAATATAACCATAGATAATGATTGCTGTTCTAAAAAGCCTCCAATAATTTAACCTATTTTGTCTGCTTTTTTCTTGTATATAATTTGCTGCGGGTTCGACTCACGAGCTGACTATCCTACGGGACCGTCCAAACGATTAATACTAGTGTTGCCCAAATCCAGTCTTGGTCTTGCAGTCTTGGTCTTGTTCTTGCATTTTTGCAAGACCAAGACCAAGAAAAAGACCGCGTATTTTTGGCAAGACCAAGACCAAGACTGACCGTGCAAGACTTGAGCAAGAACAAGACTAATCCGGCAAGACTCTTGCGTCTTGCAGCTAGGACTAAGCGCTATTTCACGGAGTATTTAGGTATAACAGTTCGGTGTATAGGTACGCTTAGGAATTCTATGAGACGCAAAAAATTGTATCATAGAATATGAAAAACTGGACCTATGCGCAGTACGACCAATACCATAAACATAATAGCGAATAAAAAAATATCCATTAAAATCAAACAGAGTGCGTGCATAGTTTTGTTTTAACCATCGGCACTTTGATAATGCGGCATCAAAGGTTTTGTACTGACTTCTCAAAGAAATTTGCCGCTTTTCGAAAGTACTTGTGATGATACACGCGCCGGCGGCTTCTATTCAAAATTCAAAAATTCAAAATTCAATATCGTTTATTCAGTCTAGGCTGTTACAAGCACTTGTGAATGTCGAAAAGCTACGCCATCGGTTATTGAAATTACATACAACAATCCAACAATCGTTGCCGCCGCGCCGAAATCACAACATTTGACACTATTTGATTGCCGCCACGGGGCCTAGGTATACTCAGGCAAAATTCTAATTTCGTGTCGTGCCGTCCCACTCACGCTAATACTATTTAATATATGAGCGAGCGAGACGGTACGACACGAACTTCGATTTTCGAATTTTAGAGTACAGATATTGTTCTTTAAAATACAGTCAATTGTAATTAATTTGTTTTTTACATGTTTTAGCACATGTAAGCTTATAAAGCGTAAATGTTTATTAAGAAACAGTTACTCCCATGGAAAACGGCATAATTATAGCTCAGTTGATAACCATGTGGCAGTTGATTTTTCGAATTTCTTATCAAATCTTCAGACATTTATTAATCTGATTGGTCTTTACTATAGCTATGTTAATTCAAGCTCACAAAGTTCCAATTCTAATACGTTTTTCTAAGATCTAAAGTAAACTTTAATAAATAGCAATAGTCTAATAGGTAATTGCAAGACTTGCAAGACCAAGACCAAGACTGGGAGCGCAAGACCAAGACTAGGTGTATTGGCGCAAGACCAAGACCAAGACTGGCTAAGTCTCGTCTTGTTCTTGCATTTGGGCAAAACTAATTAATACCATTAAACCATAGGGCTAGTGAGTGCCCTACTAGACCGGCGTTTTGTTTGCGACCTCCATTCAATGAACTTCACATTATCCTCACGTCTACAGACCTAGCCCACCAATTTCGTATTTTGTTGCGAAAAATTATATGAACCAAGTCGGAAAATATTTACGTTCTCCGAATGACCTCATTCTAATTCGATCACTTCGTGATATGTCCAGTATTGAACTCACTATGTCCCGCTGCGCCACTTGAATTTAATGGTAATTGGTTTCAATTCGAAAGTTATGTCAGTCTACACTCTGTAAGTATGCACTGTTCTTAGACACGGCACTTAAGAAAGAATGAAATATTTATTATTCTTGAAAACATCCTTCATTTAGCCAAATCCTTATCTTACCGTTATGTTGACTTTAGATCTCAAGGAAAAAACGGTTTTTTTAAGAAATTGATTTGCGTATATGTGTGGATAAAACCACATAACCTAGAAAGTTAGAAGGGCCTTGTGGGCGGGGCAAGCGCGCCATAGTTATGAACAAATGCTCATAACTTGACATGTACTTGCGATCGCTTCGTTTAGTTGCTTTCGAACCCTGGCTGAGAGAGTATTGTGATAAACGTTTAAAATATGCCTTCTTATGCTCTACTTACTTACAAAGTTAGAATTCAAGTATCAAATCTATCTAAAAATCGTAAAATTTTACGAGCTTGCATTTCAAACTGTCATAACTTTTTGACGCATGCGTTTACTTATACAGTATGCATTAAAGGTGACTTTCAATGTTTAAATAATGCCTTATATTGTTTTTGACTGCCCGATCATCTTACGGAGCGCCGTGGATCGTCCAATGTACCTGTTGGGCAGGTTTCGGGCACGATTTAGTTCGTGTTGGTGTATCTAGGGTATTTAATATCGTAGTTTGTAATATATTCCGTATCATACATCTTACAAAACATCTTTTATCGGTTCTTCGTTCGTCGGTTTTTCGATTTCACTGAATGCGGACAACTCAGGAGTCAGGACTGATCAACGTGATCTTTGCGGGAGACCTACATGCTCAGTAGTGGGCGTCGTATGGTTGAATGATGAAAGCCTGTCATAATAGAGCAATCTTATATTAGTAGATAGAAGTTAAATGCGTCTCGGTGTAAACTAAACTAAAATAAACTGCATAAAATTTCTTGATCTACCGAAACCATTACCTTTTTTTGGGTTTTATAGGTAGGTGTTGTCGGTCGTACGGGAGCTGGCAAATCATCACTTATATCAGCTTTGTTCCGGTTGGCGCCCATCGAAGGTCACGTATACATCGATGACGTCGAAACTGGGTCAATCGCCCTGAAGGTAAGGATTTAATCAATCTTATGGACTGCGCAGGCGGGGGACTTTTGACCGAAAAATAAAAAATCGATGAGGACTTGTCACGGACTCGCCGCACACGGTTTGCGAACATTTGTTGCTCAAAATTTTTGGTAAGCGCATACTATTGATGAAAATATTCTCACTTGCGTTGTGTTTAAATAACATGGAGTTTAGAAAAAAGAGAAGCCTGGGTCTATCTGTTTAAATCGGATCGAGCTCGGAACGCGGGCTACAGTTCGCTGTGTTGCGTTGCTGCGCCTAGTAACATAGTTCTATTTATTTCGGAGACCCGTGCTCTTCCGGTCTCTCGGTTGTTCGGGAGACTTTTTGTACGCGGTACTATTGATCCCTCGTGTGCGTTACTGCATGCATTTGTAAGCGATCTATTTTGGAGGTCAATAAATTCCACGAATAAAAGTCCCTTGTCTGCGCAAGCATTGATGTATTCGATTTTTTATGACGACGCATTATTTTATTTCGGAACAAAACTTAATGAGCGTATATTGTTGACCCTAATTTTTTTTAATTAATAACAACGGTTTATAATACTCAGGAACCACGGATGTCATGTACATAAAGAGAGCATCAAGATTATTAAATGTTGCAATTGTTTCAAGGTAAAATTTATAAATTTTGTATTTCGCAGGAACTAAGATCTAAAATAGCAATTATTCCTCAAGAGCCAGTCCTGTTCTCAGCCAGTTTGCGCTACAATATGGATCCGTTTGACAAATACACAGATGCAGATATTTGGAACGCTATAGAGCAGGTATTGTTCGTTAATAATAGTCTTAATGTTATGTTTATTGATAAATATTTGAATTATTTAAACAAATTCATTGATATAAATTCTAACTTGCTGTTATCATGTTTGCAGTAATATAATGTTTTCACGTTAATCTTATTAATAAGGTTACATTGTAATAGATAGAATTTCTATGTGAGACTAGCTATTCTGAGCCTTATTTCATTTCAATATGTTTGCTTTACATTTGCTCTGTACCGGCATGCTTTTACGTTATACCATTATGTACACTTTATGTCAATATTAATGCTCCATTCATTGGTATTTTACGGTTTAAAATAGATTCGTTAATTAACCATTTTTAAAACCCTATGTAATGGTCTGTTTATGGGTTAATGTGTTGTATTCTTTTTATGTTTAGTACTTTACAACCATTCCAACTAATTGATATTTACGGAGGCTAGTTTGTACTATTATTTTTTGTTTTTTAAAGTTGAATGAAATTGAGCCTGATACTGTAAATTTCAAGTCGTCCTACCGCTAACTTTTTTGTCTTTTACAATGTGGCACCAAAAAGCGAATTGCAAATTCATGGATGCTTTTCAGGACATGTCGTATTCATAAACAAGAACAAGTAATTGCTTACAAGTAATTACAAAGTTACCAAGTCATGCGTATGACACTAGAATAATTCTTCAATAAAACAAATGGTGACTTAGAAACGAAAATGGTGAATATTTTTTTTTTTTTACAACACACACCAATTAGCCTAGCCCAAAGTAAGCACTGTAAGGCTTGTGTTATGGGATACTAGGGTAACGGATAGAATACATATATTGTACATATATAAGTATTTTGTTTTATAGATATACATATTAAACATCCATGACTGGAGTACAAATGCTCGTATTCATCACACAAACATCTGCCCCCACCGGGATTTGAACCCGGGACCTCTCGAGTCGGCGACACCATGAAACCCGGCGTACAAACCACTCGACCACGGAGGTCGTCGTATTTGGTTATAATTAGCGCCATTAAAATAACGGATCACAAATGACGACGTAATACATTCTGTTCCTCTCGCATATGTTCTCCTTAGTAAAGTGCGAGAGATACGGAATGTCTTGCGTCGGCATTTTCGATTCGTTTTTTTAATGGCACGAGTTCTCATTTTTGGCAGTTCTTACATGACCAATTTCTTATGTATGAAATGAAAAAATGATGCTCAAGTCATTACTTAAGCAGAAGTCATGCAAGTATAATTTTTGTTTATAAATTTATTTATTTTTTGGAAGAGCAACAGCTATTAATAAAAATAATATAAACTTAAATAATAACAAAAAGCCAAATACAGGTCATCACCAATAAAAATACATTACAACATAATTAAACACACTTAGCATAATAATTACAAAAAAAAACATTGTACAATTGCCTATTCATCAAAAACTACACTGTTCAATACCAGCCTGTGATGGAACGATCAATACGTCGGTTAGTGGTGTTTGGATAAAGCAATAGTGGATCAGTAAATAGCTCGATGGCTTTCACTTTCATCTGTCAAAAACCGTTAGCGAATAGGCCTCCAATTCGCGGAATTTACGTTAAGCCGTTGGTCTCGACTGCATCTGCAGTCGTTAGTACCCACCGATCTATACTGGGCCGCATGATGGTTTGTGGCCCAATCTTCCTATTCCATCCATGGAGAAGGCCTGTGCCCCAGCAGTGGGGACATTAACTAGGCTGGTGATGATGATGGCTATGAATTATTTGTTTGCGCAGGTGGAACTGAAAGGCAGCGTAACGTCTCTATCGATGGCGGTGGCGGCGGGCGGGAGCAACTTCAGCGCGGGCCAGCGGCAGCTGCTGTGCCTAGCGCGCGCCGCCCTCGCACGCAATCGCCTGCTCGTGCTCGACGAGGCCACCGCCAACGTGGACCCCAAGTAACACCTGCCCACCCACCTACCTTCACTACAGGCAGTGCACAGTCTCTGTGACCTTCAGCGCGGGCCAGCGTTAGCTGCTGTGCCTGGGGCGCCGCCCTCGCACGCAATTGCCTGCTCGTTCTCGACGAGGCCACCGTCAACGTGGACCCCAAGTAACACTCGCCCACCCACCTACCTTCACTACAGGCAGCGCGCAGTCTCTGTGACCTTCAGCGCAGCCCAGCGGTAGCTGCTGTGCCTGGTGCGCCGCCCTCGCACGCAATCGCCTGCTCGTTCTCGACGAGGCCATCGCCAACGTGGACCCCAAGTAACACCCGCTTTTTTGCACTCCGAACACGTATCAACAAGTGGTCGGCACTGCCTAAATATTTGCCTGCGAGATTATTTATCTGATTTATTAGTCAATGTGTTGTCAGGTATATTTGTCTATCGTTAGGCGTCTAGGGGCTGTGTAGCCGGTGCCACCCGCCGACCTACCTACCATGTGTTTCTATCTAGCGAGGCCACTGGAATTAGACTTAAAATAGTGATGGTAATGTTTTGCTTGTTCAATGTTCCCATGAATTTATTAACAACGTTCAATGTTCCTCAACCGTTTTGATAGAAATAATGTTAAACCGCCTATACCATCCAGGCAGCGTTGCCCTCGCCTGTTTTAAGCTCGGAGTACGTAAAAATAACCTATATATATATAAAAATAAAAATGTACCTCTCCATTCACGTATTAACTGTAACGGATCTTTAATAGTACAGAAGAAATTCAACAAGAATATTTTGTCTATCCAGCAACCCATCTACCTACCCTCACTACATATAGCAACATATCATATTTGTGGAGTGCGGTGGCAGAGGGCGAGGTCAATTTCAGGGCGGAAAAAAATTAAAGGCAAAAAAATAAAAGACTAAATAAATCTTGGCAGTTTTTTTAAAGTGGATTTAAGGAATTGTATTTCTAAATGTAAAATCCTTTATTCAGAAAAGAATCGACTACAATTCAAGTACATAGGTACAAGTCTCGATATTAAGTAAATTCGATAAATTGTTAAATCTTCATTTCTTTTAGTCACATTATATACTTAGATTTAAACTAGATAGTTTAGTTCATCGATGTATTCATTTATTTGGCAACAACATCATTTTATTTTTAAATGACGTACTATAGTAATTATCATATCGATACATTCATTTATTTGGCAACAACATCATTATATTTTTAAATGACATACTATAGAAATAGCTGTAATTCTCTGCAGCTTTCGGTCAGCGATCATGAAAGTTTGCAACTTTCGCAATGACCGGGTTTAGGATGGGTGATCAAATATTAACAATTTTGAGCTCATCCGCCGCCGCATCAGCAAACTTTAGAACCCAATAATGCGCACTGGGCTCTCATAGTGGGTGGACTTCATAAAATATATTAAAGGTAGAAGGTACATTTTGGAAAAAATCGGAAGAAGTTTGGTCAATTTGTGCAAACAATATTGCGTCGATGTTTCAGTACCCCTAGCACGAACCAATATCGAATTCGAATAGTATTCCAGTGTGAAATGTCAATGTCAAATTTTGTATGAAAACTTGAACAGCATAACACAACACACGTTACATAACGAGAACTAAAAATCCGTACAAATTTGACAATGACATTTCGGACTCGCAAACGTTACGAATTCGATATTGGTTCGTGCTAAGGGTACAGTACACTTAAGACTTAACCAATTTCGTTTACTTACAGCACCGACGCATTGATTCAGAAGTCCATACGTAAACACTTCGCGGATTGCACAGTTCTCACCGTGGCGCATCGTCTGCACACAGTGGCCGACTCTGACAGAGTTGTCGTAAGTTACTACTAATTTTTTTTGTAAAAAGAAAAGAAGAAATACCGATTATCTTCGTCCTTGTTCATAAGTATCTTGTAGTTCCTATTAAAAGATTGTCATAGTTTTACGGGTAGAGGGTTTAGACCAGGAAATGAAGCATTTTGGCTCGCAATTTTTTCGTGCACCATGGATTTACTTGAAATTTTCACAGAAAGAAGAAGGTAGGGAATAGCTCAAGGATCATTTTCTATATCATGCCGCTGTACCAAGTGCCTTGGGGATGGTTGCCACCACATCTCGGGGGTGGAACTATAGGAATCGACGGAAAAAGTAATGCTAAGAAAAAAAGTTTTTTTTCTTATTATTAGCTTTTTCGTAAAACTAATATTTTTTGAGTTATTCAAAGTTAAAAGTAAGAGTTTTTTGACGAAAATATCGACGTTTTTAAATGTTTTTTTGCGAATAACTAAAAATAGGTATGCACCTTATCAAAAAAAAATTAAGAGAGCCAAATTGTAGCTTTTGAAAAAACAAAAAAAACTGCTTTTTATAATTTTTCTACGAAAATAAGGACAAAGATACAGCAAATTAATGCTTAGCTTTTTTTGTCAAATGTATAAATTGGAAGATTTAAAGCTAAATAACGAGAAAAAATTGCATCATTCGAAAAAAAGCTCAGTCTCACAATCTTTTTTAAAGTATTTAATTAGAGCTTTCAAAAAAATGTCTCTAGCATGAGAATTGACCGACTTAATATGTTAAAAATAAGATCGGTATAGATCGCGCTAATCTTCTAGTCTGCTCTGAACACTGCACAATTCGCGTCGTAGTAACACAGTACAGGTATTTAAAGGGACGAAGGTTGTGTTTAGGGCTGTACACCTGCGCGAAACAACTTCAGAGCGGACTTTGCGTTTGGCGATCGCACCAAACTTCCAGTCATAGATACCCGCTTTTTTTACGAAAAAAAAACTGAAAACAACCCCCAAAGTACCCCCTAATTAAAATTGATCGCCACCCTTCTGTGATTCTCTTTATATATGAACTACTAGCCGTGCCCCGCGGTTTCACCCGCGTTTTTCTCGTTTCCGTGGAAATACCGAGATAAAATATATAGGTACCAACTCTTAACATCTTACACACGTGATAACTTTTAAACGAAATATCCTATTGAGATGAAACAAAAAGTATTTTACTTCTACATAAATACTCTTGATAACATAATGCTTAATTTCGATAATATTAATATTACGATACATATTTAACGTAGTTTTTTTTTCTTCAGACGATGCTAGATAGCTAGATATATGTTCTTGCGGACTTTTTTGTAGGTCTTAATGGGATCTACAAACCCGTAGTACATCATTTTGTTCTATTGTCAATAGTTTTTGCAACGCACGCAAAAATAGGTTTTCGATTTTACACCTTGTGTTACAAAATAGCAATTTTATTACGGATCCCTAATTTTAAATATAGCCTATAGCCTTCCTCGATAAATGGACTACCCAACACTGAAAGAATCATTCAAATCGGACCAGTAGTTCCAGAGATTAGCGCGTTCAAACAAACAAACAAACTCTGCAGCTTTATAATATTAGTATATATTAATACACCCACGAAGTTTGACCAATTTAAAATGCCTAATTTAAGAAAAAAATGAAGTTTAAAGAGAAAACATTTTTTTTTAATTTCGCGTCTTTCACCATTTTCTTAAAAATATCTCCCAAAATACTAAAGATACGAAAAAAACGAAAAAGTACTAAATTGAAGCTTTTTTAATGACAAAAATTTCCCTGTATGCAGATTTTTTGTACAGTGAATATTCGGCGAGATATAGCCGTTTAACACCTACATTTACGATCGAATATCACCTTATTCAAGCGCTTTAAACTCTTCCCATTTCAAAATTAATAGATTTTAAGTAATTTAATTCACATAGTCTTTTATGGCTCTTGAAAAGCCCTACAAAATCGTTTCTGAAAAAAAAATATTCTATCACCTAGAAGGAGCTATGCTTAAAAAACCGAGCATATTTTTTTTTTCAAGGGTAGATTATAACAAGGGTAGTTTGAAAGATTATGAAATTGTATCTTAATCATAAAACAATCATTATTAACTATTTTTAACCATATTTATGTTTTTGATGTTATTTTATAATTTTTGACAATAAGGGATAGTTTTCGCCCCTAAAAAACAAACACTGTACAACGACACAATATAGAAAATGAACTAGTGGGTGAAATAAGCCTAATCCCAAATTTTTGTATAAATTGGTGCTGGACGAAAAACAAAGGTTTTACCATTTTTTTAGCTTCATTTCCTCGATTAGATGGAATTATTTTACAGAATTTATGTGGGCAACGTTGCTATCGAAAAATTCATGATGGGTGCTGTTCCTGAGGCCCAAGCACGAATTTTGAAAACTAATCAGCGCCCTACCGGACGTAAGAACAAAATAGCTCCTTCCATACAAAATTTGACGATGACGATACGATTACGTCAAAATTCGTGCCCCGTCACGGGGCATCTGTTTCTCATCACTCTCTTAGCTCTTCGAGTATCCGGGCTAGTAAGAAATGTTCAGTTATCCAAATCGGCTCCTTTAACCTAATACAATAAGCATAACGCTTTCAATGGGTGTCGCCAATCGCCAATAATGACTTACGCTGGCACTTCAACATGGCTATTCGTATTTGCTTTTTGCAAACTTGACAACAGTCTCTCCTTTTCACTCTCTAAAGAGTATGATAAGGACAACCTGCTGTCGAAATAATAAATAGCGAATACGAATAGCCATGTGAAGTGCTAGCATTAGATACAAAATGTTTGTATCCATTACACTTCAAAGGGACTTTGTTTTTACAAACGCAGGATATTTGGAGCAAAGTAAATGGTGTGCCTTTGATGCTTCTCCCACACCTACGGATAGCTTTGGTACTAAATGCGCTAAAATTACGGTTCGAAATTTAAATAAGGTCTGTCGTAATGAATTAGGGACTGTGCCGACGATAGCTTGACTGGCGATATTATAATTTGAACACGCGCAAAACGCTATGGTTGTGGAAAACGATAAATTTGTATATGCAGCTAAAGGAGCCTACTGAATCAAAGTTCGACCGCAAATTTTAATTCCAAAGCCACCCGAAGCTTCGTCACGCAGGTGTGGGATAAGCATGAGTCTGTTTAAAACAAAATTGCATGCGTATTCAGGTAATGGATGCAGGCCGCATAGTGGAGTGTGGGCATCCTCACGATCTCCTTCAAATACCTGAAGGTCAGTTCTCTCGAATGGTCGAACAACTGGGGCCCGCCGCGGGACAAAGTCTAAGGGAAGCGGCTGCGCGGGCGCACGCTGAGCATATCAAGTACGTAGACGACGACACCAACCAAATACGAACATTCAGTACACAGTAACTATCTGCATAAACTACCAAGATATGAAGAATAGGAAGAAGCTCATGCTTGTTTTATACTTTTTACCATATTGGTTTATAATACTTTTACTATTAAATAATGGAAATCGAATTTATCGTATAAGAAGAACCAGTGCCGCGTCACAAACTTAGTTATAATGCCTTTATATATATATATATATATGGCTATTTGTAAATTGACAGCAGGCTCTTTCTAATTCTATCCTGTAAAGGATCGTTAAATTGCGTTAAGCACTCGGAGTGCTTACTATCCCAGGGTCCATACATGAAGGGTCCGCTTCCCTCTGGACACGGTGCAGATACTTTCCGAAGCATCCGTGCCCGGAAAGGACCTGCACCAATCGAAAGTCCACCCTCCCTCCCTCTGTCCACCTATCAAAGTTCGTACTTGGGCCTCTGCTTTCAAGTTGAGTAATAGCAAATAGCCATGTAAAGGGAGTTAATATGTGTTTAATAATATGTAGAGTTAATATGAACCGCACAGAGTTTGAATACTTAAAATTAATGTACTTAAAACTATATTTGTTGTAGGCGTTGGTAACCTGTTGGTCTTTTTGTACCAACCATAAGACGGCCAACCTGATAATCGGAAATGTTTTAAATGTACCCAGTTATTTATATTTACATATATTCTTACTTGTGGTTTTATTATTTATTGTAAACCGTGCTGATGCCTGTTTTATAACTTTTACCGTATTGGATTATAATAGTTATACTATAAAATAATAGGAAAAAAATAAAATCGAACACATTCCTAGTTACAATCATCTCAGTGAATTAATGTTATCTACCCAATGATTCCAGACAACTTTATTTTTAGAGTTGATTTAGACCATAATTTAAGAGCTGTACTTAATTTACTTTCTGCCTTTTTTATTTGATATAAGTGCAATTTACTCAAACACACCTAAGTACTTAGTGTATTTTATATATATTTTATAACTCGAGATTATAATATGGTGCCAATTCATAGCACGAGACATACATAAATTACTCAATATACTATTTACTCAGCAACACTTTTCAATAAATTTCTTTATACAATATTTAATTATTTCTTTAAAGTTATACACAATTAAGTTCTTGACTTAAGAGCCCTTTACAAAATTGCGCCGCTGCCGTACTGATCGGCGCGTAGGTAGATTTGTACTAGTATATATTGCATTTTACGGGTGATGTTTCGAGTCTTATAAATATATCCATATTTCAGAAGTTTAATGATGGTACATTAGTTTTATGAAAGTTTTTGATAGTAATTCTATTTAATTCAGTATCAAGATGAGAGGTAAACCTGCATTATTTCTTAGTAAAACTCACGGACGGGGTATCGAAGGGGGTAAACGAGGGGTTTAAAAATTACGATTATTTGCAAAAAATGTGAAAGGGCTCTTAAATACGTATTATAATGAAGAACTCACCTATAATAGTAAATTGAATTTTGAGAGCTGGTAATGCTTTCAGAAATATGAACATTCATTTCTATGGAAAACAGGGTGCCAACTATGATGATACCCCTTTTTATTTGAAAGTTAGTCACAACACAATTCTACAAGTGATTGTGATTGCACCACGTTTGCTTCTGCTGGACTTGGACCCACACCCAGTTTTATAAAATAATTTAATCCTTATAATTTTTATTATTTTTAAAGCATGTAACTGCTTGATGTTTAAATCTAAAGAAAATATAACTAGAAAAAATTCCACGCGGACCAGGCAGCAGACGGGACTCGAACCCGCACCCTTCGCAATCCGGGCGAATGCACTGACCAATTATGCTACCGCGGCCCTCACGGACCGCGTCGAAATTCTTTCTAGCTATTCTTAAGCTGCAAGGCAGCGCCATCTCTTCGCATTATAGGTAAACCCACAATGTCAAATGAATACTTTTACAAGTATTAAACATTTGAAAGAAGAAATAGCAATTATAGTTATAATTTTTATTATTTTTAAAGCATGTAACTGCTTGATGTTTAAATCTAAAGAAAATATAACTATTTACTACTAATTTAATCCTTTTAAAAGTATGTTAAGGACAGACTGTTGTCAAGTTTACATATTGCAAACATGGATAGCCCAGTGAACTGCCGGTATTAGACAGTAAATCGTGTGCCTTCGTGTTCTTAAGTGCCTAATAGACATTAACACAATATAATATTTTGTCGAGATTATGTATACCTACTTAATATTTGCATTGTTTTTTTATATTTTTGCTGACTTTTAGATTTTATGGTTATACACAGAGGCATTTACTTTAATTAAAGTTTGATAAACACACACTTTATTTGTGATGTAATTACTTTATAAGAATAAAATTTAATATAAATCTGAAATCTTAAGTGTATAGCCACTAGGTATTTAAAGTTTGTCTGAAGGTGCTCTGTTATATTTTTTTTTATAACTACATCACTTTGAATAAGGACCAAATATTAATGTTACCACTCATATTTTATAGTTTTTATTCCTATTGTTATGACTTTACTTATTATGTAAATCTATTACCAAGTATCACTTTATTATTCGACGACGACGACGTCCGACGACCTCCGCGCCCGAGTGGTTTGTACGCCGGATTTCATGGTGTCGCCGACTCGAGAGGTCCCGGGTTCGAGTCCCGGTGGGGGCAGATGTTTGTGTGATGAATGTTAAGTATATATTTCTATATAAATATACTTCATTAGTATATGTATTCTATCCGTTAACCTAGTATCCCCATAACACAAGCCTTACAGTGCTTACTTTGGGGCTAGGCTAATTGGTATATTTGTTTTACTTTACCATATATAAAATAAGTTAACCAGTTAAATTGTATTTACAACTTTATCATATAGGTATAATACAAGTTTGTGTGTGTTTTAAGCACTAGCAAATATATTCAACAGACATTTTTGGTCAAGTTTACATGAAAAAGTAACTGGAAAACAAAACAAGATTTTCCAACAGTAATCTTCATTTCAAATCAATCAATAGAATAATTAAGTTATTGCAATAGGGTAAACAGTATTTATGTAAAAGTTTTATACTTATTCAACTAACAACCAGTCAGTTATTGTGCTTTCGAATCAATGATTTGCTTTGTTTAACATTCAAATTACTGATTTTTTCATTTTTAACATTAAAATATAAATAAAAGTAAAATTCTCACAAAACATAACCAGTAATTTAAATCTGCCTAAAAAATGTTAGTAGTGTTCAAAGTTTACTACAAGTGAATATATTCATCTGTGTTAACTGCCACTATTTAATTTTAAGTTAGCTAAGTAAATCATAATAAGAAACTTAAGGGTAAACTGTGGGATGGGAGTGTGGTACTTATTGTATGTGATTTATAATAAATGAATATTTAATTATATTTTACAGTTTTATTAAATTAATTATAGATTGTTAAAAAGAAAATATTTCTGAGACAAAATATACTGTATATATTATTATTATGAGTTTTTTTACTTTCCCAAAATAACCTAGTATAACATTATAAAAAAAACCATGTAGATATTTTTCTGTAGTGCCATGTTCTAGTTTTAATATATGGACTTAGAACTAGAAGAATGAAATTTTGGTTAAATCTCTTACATTAACATGAATTATAAGTGATTGTTGCTTCTAGTAACATCAAACCAATTGAACTTTTCCATTTTTCACTAAATCAGCTATAGGTTTGTACTGCAGAATGTGTTGCGAACCCTCTGAAACATTAAATGAATTTAATAAATAAATAACAACATTTTGAAAATTTACTTTGTTTTTTATATAATACTAGCTGACCCAGCGAACTTCGTACTGCCATAAAAAAATAGGTTGGTGGTAGAAAGTTGAAAATTTAGGGATGTATGTATTTTTGTACGATGTATCATAAAAAAATGAAATAAAAAAAATATCTACAATTGAAAAAAAAAATTTAGGGGTGGATTACCCTTAACATTTAGGGGGATGAAATATAGATGTTGTCCGATTCTCAGACCTACCCAATATGCACACTAAATTTCATGAGAATCGGGAAAGCCTTTTCGGAGGAGTTTAACCACAAACACTGCAACATGAGAATTTTATATATTAAATTAATTTTGATAAATGTAAATTAAGCACTAAAATCTTTTGATTGAGTACTATTAAATGCTTTTAATTGTGTACTACTACTGTGACTTGTAATTAAATAATATTTTTTCTTTCATTTACCTACTTTCATTCTTATTATAGGGTTGTCTATGTAACTTGAATACAAAACTGACTTTCAATTAATTTTTGGGCCCTGGAAGTACAGTTTTACTTTCAATGTTTCTATGGGGACCAATTTTTATATGCAAGAAAAGTTTAGTGCAGTAGCTAGAATATTACAAAAAAAACCGCATACCTTCCAGATCAATTTCTTCATCTTGGTCAGCCACCAAATCTTCTAATACAACACCATTTATTGAGGTATTTGCTTTTAAAAATATGTGAGTTAGTAAATTTGGATAAACAGCCATTTTGTTCATTTCTAACGATTTCATATTCCCTGGCATTTTATCTAAAACTACTTTTTTCAAGTGGCCCTCCATATTGGCAATGTATTCTTGGGTGTATTTGAATTCTGCCAATGTTAAGTAATTGGTCCCAGTTTCTATTCTCTGCTTCTCATCGTTCATGATATGAATGCAATACTTCTCTATTTTGTTAAGTCTTGTTCTCAAATAATTACATATAATGAACTTAATTCTACTAAGTTCCATTTTATGAATGGAGGCTCTAAGATCCGTTTTAGGTAGTTTGTTGATATTGCGTTCCATGTGCTGTATTTGGCCAAGCATACACTCCACCATATCATTGTTGTGGGGTAATATTTCTGGCGCCAATCGTTCATTTTGCCATGCAGTTTGAAGAGTTTTTAAAACAACGTCGGCTGTTATTTCCTCTTCCTCGTCACTAACAACAATATCAGATATTTCATCCATACTGCAATTAACTCTACAAACAGCTGTAAATTAATAATGTATTTCAATTCTACATGTAATTCCAAAACACAAAGAGAATAAAAACAATTGAGAATGAAACTAAATCAAAGTTGTTGTTGTTTGTTTCTTAAATTCTCCCTTTTCAGGGAAGGCAAGGGGAACAATGCCCATACAGCCTAGTCTTAAGTTAAATTATTCTGTTTTTCTTTTTACATTAGAATGTCGGTGTGACGCATTCTAATGTTTCTTGAAGTGTTTGGCACGAAATGTATCGAGCTGGCTTTTTCGATAAGCTTCTGTGAGGTAGTCAATACTACAATAAATTTCTCACGTCCACTTGACCGGAATAGCGTATATTTTGACGATTCTACTAATTCTTCAGTTACGCAGACAGTTGTAACACAAAATCACACCAATTTTATTTCACAATATCCACTATGAACGAATTTAAGAATAATTAAAATAAGACGCCAACCACACTCGATCAAATCCCGCCAAAAACTCAACTAAATCAAATGTAAAATATTTACAATGTACCTACTTTTCTCTCTGTCAGTCACTTTTTTTTAATACTTCATGACCATGGATACAAGTCCTTCAGTCGTATACATAAATACAACCTTTGATATCTTCTTGTTTACAGTTTGTCTATAAAGTCGTGACATTAAATGATGGCGCCACTAGTATGCATGTAGCAACCCTATACAGTCGGACCAAAATGATTTTGATACTAGCAGTTCATTCATTAAAATAGGTAATTAATAAGACACTATACAGTCGTATTTTGTTTCTGTTTTATATATAGTAGGTACCTATGCTTATAAAAAGTTAAGCCAAGCATATTTAATTGAATCAGAATAAAATTATTATAGATAAAATAGTACTTTATAGTGTAAAAGTGTGTAATGTTGGTGATTACCGCTGAGGTGCCATAGAGACCAGAGCCGGTAGGTAATCATCAAAACACACAAGTATCATCATACGACGTCTTTTAACACACCTGTTAAGAAAATAATACTAAAAATCATTTTATAGTATATAAAAAGTTTATTTAAAGAAACAATTTGTAAATGTTCAGTTAGTAAAATAAGTGATAGGTATCTTCACTAAAAGCATCTGGCCATGGTTCTTTATGTGACCATTTCTTTCTTTGGTCGGCTTTGCCTGTTTTCCCAGGAGTTTCAAACTTTCCATCATTCTTAAAACCTTCGTTGACTATCCGACTCTCTGATTTTTCTGAAAAAAAGTAAAAAAAATATGTAACGGAATAGAAACAATAACTTATTTATGAAGCAATTAATTCAAAATTGGTAGAAAACCTGACCGAGTTGAACCATAATAACGTATCAAAAGAAATGGTCGTACTACAATATTACCTATTTACAATGTCAATCTAACCTAAAAATGTGCAATGTAAACAATGCCTTTTTTGGTCTCAAAATCGTAAATTGAGTAAATTTGTAACTTCAGACAGATTACAAACAAATAGTTACACGATTACATACCCGTCATAGATGCTGTTCGCCCATAAACATCATCCAAATCCCACAAAATTCGTCCAGCTTGGTAGTCTTCGAAACATCGCTGAAAACTTTAAAAATCACTTCCCGCGTGCCACTCCGATTTACTTTACTCATTTTTATACCTTTCTGCGTAGTTTCGTCTTAATTTATTACAGTTTAATCGAAACAATAAAAAATACAAAAGGAAAACTGTTCCAAAGAGTAAAGTAAGTATACCAAACAACTGAAACTCGATGACAGCTGATGTACATAAGTTTGGTGTTGCCAGACACATGAATAATGTTAGTTCCTCAAACATTCATGTCACGACTTTATAGACAAACTGTACATTAGAATGTCGGTGTGACGCATTCTAATGTTTCTTGGAGTGTTTGGCACGAAATGCATCGTCTTGGTTTTTTCGATTAGCTTCTGTGAGGTAGTGTCAACACTACAATAAAGTTCTCACGTCCACATGACCGGAATAGCAATTTTATTTCACAATATCCACTATGAACGAATTTAGGATAATTGGAATAAGACGCCAAACGTCTAAATAGAGCATTAAACCACTGGAGACGCCATAACGTTCACTCGCCGAATAAAAGTATTCACCATTTTTGGTGCGGGACGAGGTACACACGTATAGCACACTAATGAAAATATGCAATACATACCTTCACAAACACGAGCGTGTTGTTGCTATAAACGCACACTTCAAAAATTACGTCACACAAACAAACGCACACACGCTAACAATTTTTATGTAACCATGCAATTGTTCGAGCGAATTTATTTCAGCACAAAATTCAATAATCCCTTATTGACAGCGACATTAAAAGAATGAACGATATTTTAATGAACAGTTCTTGATGAATGAACATAATGTTTGTTTATAATGAAAACAAAAAGTTTCACATATAAATATCTATCTGAAAGCTTATTTATAGTTTTAGTACTTATGATTGTTATGCACAAAATTCATAGAATTTTTTGCAAATTATATTGCTGTGCAAAAATATTTCTAACTGAGTTTACTGCCTTTTATCGGATATCTTGCCTACATTTATTGGCTTTTACACCCTTAATAATAGCAAAAGCAGCAGCAGTACATTGTCACAAAACACTGCGTAACTGACCCAAGTTTATCCATTCTTTGTTTAATATAAAGGGGATAGCGAATTAATATACTTCACTGAATTAAGGTTATTTGTTTTACTGATAATGTTTTCCTTAGTGGTTTAAGAAGTCATTAATTTTATTATGTGTTATTAATTAGAAAAAATCTCAATGATTCCAGCTTTCGGCAAAGGTCAATCCCAATATTAATAAAAATAAAAATGATAAAAAAAATATCAGTGCCCCCGCCCAGTCGAGCAAAAGCAGCAGCACGGCCGTACCATCCTTTTCTCGAAACAGTTCAGAGCACTTTCAACACCCTTTAACTTCATTGGCGATAAAACAAGAAGCCTGTGTTTTCAGTAAGTAACCAAGTAGGCATTTTATAAACTCGGTATATTTCAAATTTCATTAAATTTGAGCCAGTAGTTTAAGAATTATAACTAATCAAAGAATTTTATATAAACAATTTTGTCACTCACTGACTGACTAATCATCAAAACTCTAAGGCACTTCTAGCAGACATCGAAGCTTCGCATTTAGCATACAGTTAGTATTTAGTATATAAATTAAGGAAAAACTAAAATATTTTGCAATTTCGGCCCAGTTTTCTAGATATACTAACTGCATAAATAACTTTGTAATCTCATATAAATATATAGGAGTTACATTTGCAGTTAATGAATTAGTGTATGTGTTATATAAATGTTGTACTATATTATAATAGATAGATGTAGATAAGTATCTAGATATAATAATGTAAAATTGGAATCTCATTAATAATTTATATTTTAGAATAGAACGCGAATCGAATGAATTTGAATTCAAGCTATTTCAACAGCCAAGATACATTAGATATTCAAGAAAAAATAATAGAAGAATAAAATCAAATGTTCTCAATAATTGGTCCCGATTCTTAATTTATTAAAGTACCTTTGATCCTTAATTATGTTTTTATTGAAATAAACTTTTTGATCAGACGAAGTTTTTTTGAAATGAGTTTAATATGAGAATTTATTAAATCTATAGTTTTAAATGGAGCTGATTATGAAAACAACATTTAACTCGAGATCCAAGAATATTATTAATGTTTCAGATTTTGGGACAATGCAGTCCTAATGGCACTTTAGTCACGGCAACTTTAAAGATCGATTTTGTGACTCGCCGACATCTTAAAGTACTTATCTGTTATAGCCAGACAGCTTCCATGGAGCTTCTGCAAATTGAATATCCTCAAGCTGTATTATATGTCGGCCCAGGTGAATAGTATGTGTATGTACCACTTTTGTGGATTACAATAAAGTACGCTACTACATATAAAATAAACTATGTTTTTAAGAACTCTAAGAAGTAAAAATAAAGTCGGTTTTACGGGCGAAGATTTTACGTGACAACGTCTTTTTCTCGGTAGAATATTTATTGATATGAATATAATTAAATTGCACAATAGGAACAAGGAATTGAATGAAAATAAGAATTGCACAAATTTTAACTATAGAAATATATTTTGTTTACTAAAACATTGTACATGTAAACTTAAACTTAACACGAGAGACTCATCATAACGTTACCGAGCGTTACACTTTTTCATAAGTGACTCCCAGCCGCAACCTAATTTAAGACGTTGTCACGTCAATAATATAAGTTATGGCAAAAACAATTATTTGATTTGACTAAAAAACTTAAAATTCCCTTTTATACAGAACCTTAATAACATAAGTTTTTATCTTCTGGACTATAGAGAAATACGAATTGCAACATCATATACTCATGAACAAACGTTCGTGAGTATATCGTAAACGTTATTTTTTTTTTCACGACACGATAATAATCACGGTGCAACTAAATAAAATGTAGGGCCTCGTGTGATGGCATTTTCCTCTTAATTTGACATTTGAAAGCTATTAAAAAAAGTTTGTTAATTAAAAGGTAATAAAAGTCGTTCGATGTGGGCAGCTGCACTGATAACTAACTACTTAATTTGATTTACTTTCTTCTACCTATACGCAGTTTCCATCAATGTATTGCCAATAAACAAAAAAACAAAATAAAAAATAGTAAGTTATGTTGTGGAATCCGGTATAATTCTCTAAGGCCGTATACAGAAAGAAAGCCGAAAGCCGATCGGCGCCGATCAGCGCCGATCGGCGCTTATCGGCGCCTATTGACGCTGATCCTTTTTCTATGGACCGGCGCCGATCGGCGCCGATAAGCGCCGATGAGCGCCGACACGCGCTGGTCCGAATAATAAATAATTTGTATTTGAATTATTATCCTTAGATTAAATCAATCTAAGTTATAATCTTTTTATAAATCTAATAACTTTATCTTTTATTAACTAAGCGCTTAAATTATTTGTTTCGTACTTACCGAATGGTGACAACAAGTCTTTCTTCTGGAAGGATTGGTTGTTTATGCCAATTGCCCCAATTTTTCGTCAAACGGTTTTTCACTAAATCCAAAATGTAATAAAATGTTTCTTGAATCATTCTTGT